ACAAGCAGCGAAATTGAAATGGTAATTAAAACCTCCCAAAAACAAAAGCCCAGGACCTGATGGATTTACAAATGAATTCTACCAAACATTCAGAGACGAATTAGTGCCTATCCTTCACAAACTCTTCCAAAAAATTGAGAAGGAAGGGGCAATACCAAACATGTTCTATGAAGCCAATATTACACTAATACCAAAACCGAATAAGGACAACACAAAAAAGGAAAACTACAGGCCAATCTCCCTAATGAACACTGATGCAAAAATCCTCAATAAAATTTTAGCTATCAGAATCCAACAATGTATCCATAAGATAATTCACCACGACCAAGTTGGATTCATTCCAGGGGCACAAGGATGGTTTAACATCCGAAAATCAATCAACGTTATCCAACACATCAACAAAAAGAAATATAAAAACCATATGATAATATCAATAGATGCTGAGAAAGCTTTCGACAAAGTGCAACACCCATTCATGATAAAAGCCCTTGAAATCTTGGATACAATACATACCTCAACATCATAAGGCCATCTATGACAAGCCAACAGCCAGTATCATTCTCAATGGTGAAAAGCTGAAAGCAATTCCATTAAGATCTGGAACAAGACAAGGATGTCCACTCTCACCACTGCTTTTCAATATAATACTGGAAGTCCTAGCCAGGGCAATAAGACAAGAGAAAGACATCCAAGGAATCCAAATAGGAAAAGAAGAAGTCAAACTATCACTATTTGCAGATGATATGATAATATACATAGAGAACCCCAAAATCTCCACAGAAAAACTAATTCAACTCATCAATCAATTCAGTAAAGTGGCAGGATACAAAATCAACACGCAAAAGTCAGTAGCCTTCCTATACACAAACAATAAATCTGAAGAAGAAGAAATCAAAAAAACCACCCCTTTTATTATCGAAACAAAAAAAATCAATATTTGGGAATAAATCTAACAAAAGAGGTAAAGGACCTATACAAAGAAAACTATAAAACACTGTTAAAAGAAATAGAAGAAGACACAAAGAAATGGAAAGACATCCCTGCTCATGGATTGGAAGAATAAACATTATTAAATGGCCATCCTACCAAAAGCAATATACAGATTCAATGCTATTCCAATCAAAATCTCAATGGCATTCTTCAAAGAAATAGAACATTATTGATGAAATTCATATGGAATCACCAAAAACCCCGAATAGCCAAAGCTCTACTGAAAAAAAAAGAAGGAAATGGAGGCATCACACTCCCAGACTTCAAACTATACTACAAAGCCATAATCATCAAAACTGCATGGTATTGGAACAAGAACAGACATATAGACCAATGGAATCGAATAGAAAATCCAGAAATAAACCCACAGATTTATGGTCAACTAATCTTTGACAAAGGAGCAAAGACTATGCATTGGAGCAAAGAAAGTTTGTTCAATAAATGGTGCTGGGAAAACTGGGTCGCTACATGCAAAAGAATGAAGCTTGACCACTACCTCACACCATACACAAAATCAACTCAAAATGGATTAAAGAACTAAACATAAGACCTGAAACCATAAAATACATAGAAGGAAATATAGGCGAAACACTACGGGATTTGCACATCAAAGACATCTTTACAGACACATCACCCAAAGCAGTGATAGTGAAGAGAAAGATAAACAGCTGGGACTACATCAAATTAAAGAGCTTCTGCACAGCAAAAGAGACAATAACAAAAACAAAGAGAAACCCCACCAACTGGGAGAACATTTTTGCACCCAACACTAATGATAAAGGACTGATCACAAAAATCTGCAAAGAGCTGATGAGACTCAGCAACAACAAAGAAAATAATCCAGTCAAAAAATGGGCAGAAGAGCTAAAAAGAAACTTCTCTGAAGAGGAAATGCAAATGGCCAACAGACATATGAAAAATGTTCAACATCCCTTGTAATCAGGGAAATGCAAATCAAAACTACCATGAGATACCATCTCACACCAGTGAGAATGGCACATATTAAAAAAACTAGCAACAACAAATGTTGGCGAGGATGTGGAGAAAAAGGAACTCTTGTGCACTGTTGGTGGGAGTGCAAACTGGTCCAACCACTATGGAGAGCTGTGTGGAGATTTCTGGACCTACTAAACATAGAGCTTCCATATGATCCAGCAATTCCACTCCTAGGTATTTACCCAAAGGACACAGAAACATCAATTCCAAAGAGCACCTGCACTCCTATGTTTATAGCAGCACTGTTTACAATAGCTAAGCTTTGGAAACAACCCAAATGCCCAAAAATAGATGACTGGATCAAGAAGATGTGGTACATATATACCATGGAATATTACTCAGCATTCAAAAAAGATAAACACATGCAATTTGCAGCAACATGGATGGCACTGGAAGGGATCATGCTCAGCGAAATAAGCCAAAAAGAAAAAGAAAAATACCGGATGGTCTCACTCATAGCAGGAATCTAGAAAACTTAAATAAGGGACCAGGAAATGAATATAAGAAAGTGAAAATCAAAATCAACAAAAAACTATGAACCAGAGACACTTTTTGGGGGGGGGGCGGGAGGGGAAGGATTGGGGTCAGAATGGGGCGTTTGCAATTGTATGGGGAATATAAAATAAAATTTAATATTTAAAAAAAAAAAAAAAAGAGGCAGAAAGACCTTAAATAGATCTAAAGATAAAGCTAATATAAAACCTACCCTGAAATCCCATTCTTTGGCATTAGCAGATACATATTTGAACCATCTTTATAAGCAACAAATGGCAATATACCAGCCATAAAAGACAAACAAGAATAATTGTTATGAGAAGTTCAGTTCCTCCAGATGCTAAAATGAGGAAGAAATTTTACATAAGGTCCAGCATACCTGGTATTCTGTGCAACATAGTAATCACTGTCCTTAACAAGACTTGGAAGAGAGGTACTGACCAGTTTCAAATAACTAATGACATAGGATAATATTTTAATCCAAAGGAAATTCAAGTATTAGAGTATGTGGAAGGTTGCATGAATTTCATTCATAGTCTTTGAGTGATTATCCAAAATTTTTCTTCCTTCAGTTAAACTTTTGCTGAATATTGGGCAAATGTGATTTTGAGATTGTTTTCTTTGGCATTATATGAATAGTGATTGTTCTGTTCCTAAATGAATTTATTTAAATTTAATTTAGAACTACACCTTAATAAAATGTCCGACCAGAAGAAGGGTTAATACTCTTGTGAAATTACTGGAGCCAAACAGAAAAACATGATTTTAAAAAGGCACATAAAATAATTTGATTGTCACACACAGAATTACCTAGGAGTCAATGCATTACTCGTGATCAGAATAAAGTTTCTTCTTAGAAATAATTTATCCTCACTTTAATGCACACACAAATGGGAACAGAAACTCCAAATTTCTACTCGTAGAAGTTGACTATAGCAATTTTATCATGGGAATTTTTTTAATTGATTAAACATTTTTACTTTCTTACATTGTTGTACAATATTTGATTTCTCTCCTCAGATAAATCTCCCATCACTACATCACCTGTGAACTGTCACCATAGTCTCTTGTGCTCTTCCCTCCCCTATTTTGACCCCTCTCTTTCCTCCTCCCCTGCTGTATGCTTCAGATCTATAGTTTGCCTGCAAGTTTTATCTTTTTTTTTTTTAACCCTTGTTCAGTTTCCCTATATTCCTAGTATAAGTGAAACCATCTGATATTTTTCTTTTTCCTTCTGACTTTTTTGACTAAGCATATTCCTTTCTAGCTTCATCCACAGCATGGATTTTTTAAAGGCAGATGTACTCAAATACTCAACTGCAGACATAACACATCTCAATAAAGTATTCAGAATCCATTACTTTGAGCAATACTACTTCCTGTTGTGTTCTCTAAAAAACTGTTACCTAAATAAATACAAAACTGAGTTGATTATTAAACTAAAACTTGGAAGTATTATAAAAATAAGTTTTTAGCTTTAAAATGAGCACCATTTGAAGAAATAATCAGATGGGAGAGCCAGGTGTCCATAATGGACACACTTTAACCATTTCTGAGATAATCTCTTTTGTATATTTGAAAATTCTCATATTTTGCCTCCTATAAGAGATTCTTTCCAAAGCATTTAAGGCAATAGTTGAAATGGATTTGAAACCAAGATAATCCTGCTTGCAAAGGTAGTGGGAAAAATCATCCTATATGTTCTCCCACAGAAAAAAAGATAGACAAATCAATTGCGGAAAAAAGAAAAAGTTTCACTGTGTGAAACTAAAATAAATGAGTAATCTTTAAAGGATACTGTGAAGCCTGTGGGGATAGTGGTGATGAAGTTAGACTGGTTGGAATGATTACTAGACTCTCCCACTGGCAGTTCCTTGAGTATCTATAGAGCTAACAGCTAAGGGGGGGTTTCCCCAAGAGAGAAGCCTAAGCTATTTTGCTCAACAGGGCAATCTCAAATTGCACCATCAGGAAATCTCAACTATTTTATCACAATTATTCTGGAGTGGTCCTCCTAAAAAACAAACAAACAAACAAACAAACAAACAAACAAACAAAAGGTCTGTTTCTTCCCTAAAACGGGGTGTGTGTGTGTGTGTGTGTGTGTGTGTGCACATGTGTGTGTATGTGTATGTGTGTGACTTAACACAATACCTGGCAAATTTTTCATACCTTTTTAAGTGTCAGTGCAAAATATGGTAAAAGGCATCCAAATGCAATCCAATTATCCCTTTCCCTTGCCAATAGAAAGATTGTTCTGGTGTAGATCTGACCCTTGTGACAAATCAGAATGAAATGATGCACTTTAAGGTGAATCTTCTTGGCTGGGAACATATAAGCCTGTGAATTCTTGGAGGGACTGATGAGGGCTACAGCTCAAAGAGTGCTTCTACAGCCAAAGATGCTGCTGCTTAAGGGTGTATTTCAACACTGTGAACGTCATTCCCATTATGTGACAAGATGACAAATAATATCCAATGAACCACAACACATAAAAAGGAAAAATAACATTTTCTCACCTTGGGAGGGCTTGAAAGGTCCATCTAGCTGCAGACACCAGCTTCTATTATTTTGCCAAGATGTTTTCAACCTGGGATGGGTTCAAAGAGTAGAATACTAATTAAGAAGGAGATTGAGATAAAATAAGAGTTTTGTTAGAGGCTAATATGGGTAAAACAAGATGGACTTCGATAAAATATTCTTAGCCCTTTTTTTGAAAGGGCGCTTCTGGACTCTTCTTTTTTACATCTGTTTTTAAGTAGGTAAATAGGTGAAACATTTTTCTACAAAACAACCTCCCAAAATACAGAAGGTGAAGCAGCGCTCTAATAAGCACAGGCCTCTAAACATCTGGTTCTCAGTCCTAACCCTGTCTGGGTATCACTTTCAAGAAGATCATTTTTTTATTGTTTCTTCAGGCTGAGACTAGATAAGAACTTACCATCTATATGATCAATAGTCATTTTGTAAGTCAGCTCCACTTATGGATGCAAGCACGCACAGCCAATCTGCTGTCAGTCAATTGAGCTGTCCCCTTAAACATGCAGGCTTGACTGAGTAATTTAGTTTTTCACAGTCTGATCAAACAAATATCATCCAGAATGGCTATTTTCTCCCACTTGGGGCTGTTTGTTTAAGTTCAACAAGTGTCAGGGGAATTTAATGAACCATGTGGTAGCAAAATCAGTTAAGTGAGTGATTCTTTCTTTGATGTCCCTGTTCTTACAAGGGCATTAGTAGATGTCAGACTAAATTTTGAGGACAGGGCTGTCAACGTATATTCTAGTTAAAAAAAAAAAAGCAAAAGCAAAAAAACACAATTCTCTATTCTTTAGGAACTCTGATTTTAAAATATAATCATCAGTTCCTATGCGAGTTCTACCTCTGAAGATAACTTACAGAACAATATTCATATTCATGGAATGATTTCATTTTGGCTGTTTGGAGGGATCAGACATTGATGTTTTAACTCTGGAGGTCTCATTTTGTGATTCTACAGATAAAAAGAAGTTCATATAAAGAGGGAGAATAAAAGTTCACACTTTGGAGCATCATGTTTTGCCTACTGTAGAAAGTTCATTTGTCATCAGAGCTTCCAGCCTACATATACATTGTTGGCTCTGTGTTACATCTTTGTGATAGGTACTAAAACCTACAAAACACTTTGGAATTCCAAAGCCAAAATTACAGGCACGGAGAAGTACTGATTAAATACACAGGCTCCGGACCATAATGTCATGTTCCTATCTTGCATTTACCCACCATCTATTAGTCATTTGACTTTGAGTGAATTACTCAACCCTTTTGAATCTCTGTATTTGCAGCTATAAAAAGGGGATAATAACAGCTATGCCTTAAAGGAGTGATATGAGGATCAATTGAACTAATATACACACTACCTAGCACACTGCCTATCACATCGTGGTAACTCAATAAATGATAACCACAACTCAGAGATGTAACAAGTGATCTTTGGGAATGTAACACTTGCTGAAGTCTTCATTCTCATCCATGAGAAGTAAGAAAAACCAACTTGATTAAGGGTCTGATTCCCTGATTTCTATATCTCCCTTTGCTTGCCTTTTTTCATCCTTTCATCACTGCATAATTCTCAACACAATCCAGTTTAAGACAATTCTGCTAGAGGAGAGGCAGAGAAGAATGGGAAGACAGTGTGCTCCCCATGAAGACTAGCAGAGCGAACAAATAAATAAAAAGAAACCTGTCATCTGGCTTAGTGCAGAATGTTTAGTAGGGGACTTGGTATAAGTTGAAATGTAGTTTTATGTGAGATATCAGTTATCATGATTTTCTTGATAATAATTAATATGGAACATTAAGAGGTGAAGAGAGGCATGTGTGTGCATATGCCTAACGCTCTATGCAAGCACACGTTTTTGTGCACACATGCACACAATTTCCTTCTGACATTAATCCCTGTACAGTTACAATAAATTCTGCCTTCAAAATCCTGCATGACATAGCTCGGAAAAGGACACAGTTCCTAGACAAATGTCTGAGGCACCGACAGCAGTCCCTGGACTCAAACATTGACTTGCTGGTGTTCTGCCATCTTCTATAAAGATCATGTCCTCTGCTTCAGTGATAGAGAAATCTCCAAAGAAGGGGTTAGTTAAAAATGAGTATTTTAGTAAAAATACTTGCTATTCCTCTGTCACCGCCTGAGATAGGAAGATGTGGAGTCAATTTAGTGAGCTTCAATTGCAGCTGACTTTGGAAGGAATAATATACTCATGTCTCTCTAGATGCATATCGAGTAGGGAAGCTCTCTCCAGGGCTGCGATTTTACAGATTGCAACCTGATCAGATTTCCTAACACAGAATGTCCCCTTAAAACAGGGAGAGGTTACTCCTTAGATGTGGGGAGATCAGTGATTTAACGGCTTCCAATTCATTTCTAAAACATATGTGGGAGGTTCTCCAATTTCATAATTTCCTTGTCAACCTTGACACTACTCGATGCCTAAAATGCCACCACAAAACCTGCATCCGAAAGTAATTTTCTTTGAAGCCACAAATTTGGCATGAAGGAATTAAACTGGCTGAGGTGGGGTGTAGTTGGGAAGAGACAGTGCAGTCAAATACCCTCTTCACAGTTTTCTGTGGCGCTGGTCTCAGAAATCTTGCACAAACCTTGAACAATCCTTTGGTGTTCAGCAACATGGTCAGATGTCCTATACTAGCTTTGATGCCTCTGATTGCTCAGACCATTGAAGAATGTCAATTCCAGGCAGAAGACAGGAAAGGACTTTGCAACTCATAAGGAATGAGGAAAGAACGAAACCCTTCAATTGCTCTTAGGCGGCTCAGTCAGGATATCACATATTTCCAATTCATTTATCAGTACATTTATTCAATAAATATTTATTTAGAGTCTAAGTATGTTCCAGGTGTAGCCAAAATATAGGGAATTCTATGGCAAGAAAAAACCCCAAAAAACCAGCTTCATCTCTGTCCCTACGGAACTGATATTCTATAGATGCTTCTAAAGGATCAATAGGCATTACTAATAGTAATATATGTAAAATTCCATCCTTGGTCACTCCTGGAAAGGAAGAGGAGATTGTGTTGCAAGAGCAGAAGATGTGGCTGGCAGACATCATCAGGAGGGTAGAGGGAAGTTATTCTGAAGAAACAAAGACCCAGTAAATCTGAAGTGTGGGTTGGATAATTGAAGGAAGTAGGAAGAAAATACCAGGCAGAGAGAACATTATTTGCATATTTTGTGGCAGGAAGGATCAGGGCACCTTCAAGGGACAGAAAGAGGCCTAGAGTATGGAGAATAGGGAGAAGAGGGAGAATAGGGCTGGTGAGGTGGAACCAAACCTGCATTTGCAGGCCATTTCAATTATACTGTTTGCTTGAAGATTAGTGGGAAGCCTAGAAATACTGTTCTTTAAAAACTGGCAGTGCCACAAAACAGATAGGACACTCTTGGGCTTTTTTAATCTCCAGATTAAAAAAAAAATATGTCAAGTTTCTAGAAAATAGGGTTCATCTCAAGGCTGTTAATGTGGTCTTTGTGTTGTATTCTGGCTATTCATATCTTACTCTGTTGTGACCAAATAGGCTTCCAGGAGCTGTGGGGATAGGGGAAGCCGCTGTTAGACTTTCTTTGATCAGCAGACAGGTTGTTTTCTCTAAGTGGAGACTCAAAGGACACACTTGAAATGGAAAGTTGTGTGAAAGGAATCTAAATTGGTTAAATGTCATATATATCTATGATTTATGCCTCCTTTACATCTCAATGCTGATAAAGCTAACACTCCTTATTACTTGTAGTCGTGTGTGTGTGTGTGTGTGTGTGTGTGTGTGTGTGTGTGTGTGTGTGTGTAGGAAAAAAATCCCAGGCAAAGAGACTGGAAGTTCATTGCCTTATTTCTCTTGGCACAATGATATGGTTAGGAAAACATCTAAATAGAAAAAAAAGAGGATTTCAAGCCATGCACAGGGCAAACTCCATACTAATTTTTTTATACCAAACAGTTCATACTCCTTATAGAAGTTGGAAATTTCTATGACAAAAAGGTAGAAAATTGAAACATCCCAATTCTATTAATAGTTTAGTGTATATACTGCCAGATACTTGCCTCTCTCTGTGTGTGTGTGTGTGCATCTTTAAAATTTCTAACATGTCATGTTATTGAATGACATGTTAGAATTTTGAACAGAAAAACTAATTCCCATTCACAATGGAAATTAATCTAGAACTACATGAGATGGAGAAGTCACAGCTTTCATTGTGAGATTAGTCTTTTTCTGTGAAACCCCAAATTTTACAACAAACAATTCTGTCTTTTAATTTTCAACATAATTATTTCCTTTCAAGCTGTTAGTAATTTTAGGCAACGACAAGGATAAAGGAAAGGTAAATCAATGTCTTTAGATGTTTGATAATCAAAAAGAATTCTCCAGACACCCAACTGCAGATTTTTCACCTATGTTTGTGGAGGCCTGGAAGTCCTGGCTCATGAATTTTATGCCAGAAAACAATCTGAAGCATGGTTCTCTAACACATTAACAGATGCACATGAATTCATTTTCTAAGGCTGCCATAGCATATTATCTAAACTGGGTGACTTAAAACAAATTTGTTCTCTTAAAGTTCAGGAGGCCAGTAGTCCAAAATCAAGTTGTTGACAGAATTGGTTCCTTTAGAAGTGCTGTTTTCTTTAGAATCTGTTACAAGTCTTTCTCCTGGCTTCTGGTGCTCACAAGCAAACCTTGGGTTCCTTGGCTTGTAGCCACCTCTTTCCAGTCTTTCCCTTCACTGTCATGTGACCTTCTTTCCTACATGTGTCCTATGTATCTCTGTATACAAAGCCCTCTCTCTTTTCTTTTTTTTTTTTTTAAAGGATTTATTTATTTATGCATACAAGAACTGAGGCCAAAGGTGTGGGGAGTGAGAGGATTCACCACAGACAGAATGGGAAACAGAACAGGCGGATTGACTGAAGTACACTGCTGAGGGGAGCAGCGGGCGAGCCAGGAGAGGTCTGCTGTGCCATGTGGTTTGCTCCCTGGCTGGCCCGGGATCGAACTCATGCTGCAGTGGCTGCAGATAGCTTC